GGCCAATGAACATTGTTTTTTGGTTTACATTTTTGTGTACAAAAATGTATTTATTTCCATTTTTGACCTACAGGGCATTAAGTTTGATCCTTCCACTACACCCCCGAAATTTTTCCTGGACGCTACCGTACACCCACGCTCCGCTGTAGGCAATTTTGAAAAGCCTTGCTCTTAAACTGTCGACTACTGGGCCCCTTACCCTAGATCATTTATGTGTACCTCTATGGCACACCAACAAGTCCAGAATAATTATTTTCATCAAGTAAACTAGAAAATAATAACAATTTGATCTGTTTAGCATACTGTTTCCGGTGCATTTAAATTCTTTTCTTTCTTCTTCCACATTCGCTGGAATGGTCTATTCCTATTGTTGCAACCATAAAACTATCCCACTGTTGGATTTTCTATTTGTCGATCAGTCGTGTCTAACGACACCGCCACGCACTGAATTTCGTGCTTTCCAAGAGATCATCACTAATTTGTTGTCCACTTTAACACATTCCTTCCGGCATGACCATTATGTGGTCTCGCTCCAATGTTAAATCATAGGTACCAAAAATGAGCCGCAAGGAATGTGTTATAGTGTTTAACTATTTGAATTACTGACAAGTGTTTAACATTTAAGTTGAACATTTATAAGTGTTAGCCACGCAGCTTCATCGACACATCGAAGTGTTTAAATCTACAACAGGTGAACACTTCTTAGTATTTAAATTTCCAGTCCAACATCTAAATGTGTCCACTGTGACGTTGAGCTCCTCCATGTGCAAACCAGTTGGATACTTTTGTTTTCAGTGTGGAAACAATTTCCAACACGTTTTCATATTCACGAAATGCATCGGTTCTGATCACATTACGTTGCGCATTAAAGGGGCACCTCTAATCGCCGTGTCACGTCGCTACGTTCGGCGATCACATCCAGATCAGCAACTTTTTGACCCGAAAATATCGGTTTGATTTGAAGCCTGGTTAAAATTAATAAAATTGTTGGTGGCAATTGGTAATGGGTACCAGCTCAAATGTTGTTGTTTTTTGAAGCGGTGTGTGTGTGTGTGTGTGTGGGGGGGGGTCATCTTATTTAGAGTGCGCTTGGAAGTTGCAGGGCGCAGGGTCTCTGCCGCAGCATGGGCTGGGCCCGGGCGGCCGGCCGCTCTGCTCTCAGCTGCTCTCTTGCTCTCACTCGCTCAGTCTCTCGCTCTCTCACACACTCGTGCACACACACTCTTTCTCTCTCCCCTTCTCTGTCTCTCGCTCGCTCTCACTCACAGCTCCCAGCGTTGCCAAACCGTCCTGGCTTTTGCGCTCCCTGCCGCCGCTGCACCTGCCACAGTCGGCGCGGCCTAACCTCTGCCGCGCGGGTGGCGCTGCTCCGCGCTGGCCGCGGGGCGCCCGAGCCGAGCTTAGGCGCGCCCGACTGTGGAAGTGGGTCTGGCTCAAGTGGCTTACCTTACGGCGCACGCCGGTCACTGTGTGCCTAATTTTATTTTATTTAGTGTAAAATCACTCTTGACATAATTTTTGCTCTCTGCAATTGCCGTAAATGAGTAGTCCCAGGATAGGGTGCAGCCACTGCTGCACTGTGGGATTTGCAGAGGTATCAGGTATTCATCTTAGACCCCTTATACACCCCTTATAAACTTTGTGGGGCACCAATGCTGGGAAGAGTGTAAGAATACGGAATATTCTACCCAGTATAACCTCTAACAAATTGTAATGTTAACTGTTCAGCACGGAAGAGCTTTCGTCCGTTTACGGTTTCACCTTAGAATTAGTAAATTTGTTTAAGAATAAATTGGAGCAACTGTCCCTTTTAAGAGTGAGTACCTTTTCCGTGGAAAAGAGAAGAGTTGAAGCTCAGAAATTAATTTGGAACGGTTTGCAGTTGGCCTTACACACTCTGTATTTTAAAGTGAAAAATATTCAACTAGAAAATAATTAGATTGCGCCAAAAGTTAACAATTTTGAGCTCAAAGTTTAATTTTCAATACATGTGCGTTCGTCAATGCCGTTTTTGGCTACAGTCCCACTTGATTTGTATCGACGTCCACTTGATATGGGCAGCTTGTTCTGCTGCGAGGCGCTGCTGCGACAGGTGTGGCGCAGGACGGGCTGCTTATATTCGACAAGGCGTCGTCGTAGGCGTGCCCGGCTAGCGCGTCTCGCCCATGCACCGCGTCTTGAAACAGGACTGGCGGGATAGTCCGTAGTGCTGCCGAAATCTTGAAGATCGTAAACGGGAATCAGTCATGAAACGGAATTACTCATTCCGACCGTCGATGAGTCGATTCCTGTCTTATCATGCTAACTTTCTCCTCTCGAGCGCCTCAATACATCAGGTGTCCACCGAGCCCCATACGCGTCTATCGAACCCTTTCTTGTGCTTGTCTTTTGTTCATCTGAATTAAATGTTTATCATTTGATATCATTGTCCAGAGATTGCCATCGCTGCCGTGTAAAACATGTGAAATATGACTGTATGACTAACGCTTCTATCTCTCTTCTTTTCCAGGCGTTCATATGACCAGCTGTGGGGCTGCCTCGCGTTGTCAACAGATTTTGCAAGGTGAGTTTCTTTGAAATGTGTTTTATGTCAAGTCCTACTTTTAAATTTTATTCCTAACTGTGATTACCGTTCTGCTCTGCTATTGGTAAAGAAAATTCTGACCACTCCAAGCCCATAACTGAAAAATATTGCCAGGATATATGTTCTGTACTTATTGCTGCCGTATTGTGGGGGCCGTCCTTAGGACAGATAAGAGGTTTTGTTGACAGCCCCCGGGCAATGGGGAAGCTCAGTGGGGGCCAACGGCCGGATGTTTGTCGGCAGTATTTTTAGTCCATTCTCTTTCCTTCTTTCTCTCGCACTCATCGTGTCCGTCTCTCTCACCCCCCCCCCCCCCCCCTCTCTCTCTCTCTCTCTCTCTCTCTCTCTCTCTCCCCCCCCTTCCTTTTCCTCCTCTCCCTCGTCTCTTCGCGCCGCATCCCCTCGCGACTTTGGGGAGAGAGAAAGGAAGGCGAGAGAGAGAGACAGAGAGGAGACCATCTCTCGGGCTTCGCGAGTCTCTCTTAACTTTCCTACTTCCCCTCTGCCGACCGCCGCCTGTCCTTGACTGCTATTTGCTTCAACGAGTGAGATGGTGAGATGCCCAGCTTCTCCCCCCCCCCTCTCCCTGTCTCCCTCTCCCTCTCCCCCCCCTGTCTCTCTCCCCCTCTCTCCCTCTCGCTCTCGCTCTCGCTCTTTACCTCTTGAGAGAGGGAGAGAGAGAGGCGGGGGGCAGCGCTTCGAGCCAGACGCCACAGACTCTGTGTGCAATGTTTGTATTGCCCCGGCCGGCACGGCACACCACGCCACCCCACGCCGCGCCACTGAGCGTTCGGAATATCGTCTGTCTGCGTCACCCGTTATGAGTTGGGGCGAGAAGGCACGATGTCCATCCGGACGCGTGTGCTGTGGAGAGTGCTCGCGCGTGTGCCTGGTTTCGCTACTACAGAATTCGCTTGATCGAGAGCATTATTTAGACACTAAGTCTGTCGAGACTTCAGGAAGTTGAGAGTGTTTATGGGCGGCTGTACATTTAATCCATTCATTTATCCCCAAAATGCTTTGTGCGACCTGCTCTTCCTCGTTTAGAACAGTGCTGTAGGCCACATCGGCGCGTCCGCTGCAGACAGGCGGACGTAC